ATTTTGGATACGTTGTTTATACCTTCAGCACCATGTTGATCTCAGGAGATTCCTTTTTTGAATGAGCGTGTCGGACAAGGAACGGACCAACTTAAGCATCTCAGTAGCTTTTTTTTGTTTCCTGAAGTTGCTGCAATAAATAAAGGATGCCGATACCGATAGGGGGCCGATTATATCGTGCATCCTTTATTTATTGCAGCAACTTCAGGAAACAAAAAAAAGCTACTGAGATGCTTAAGTTGGTCCGTTCCTTGTCCGACACGCTCATTCAAAAAAGGAATCTCCTGAGATCAACATGGTGCTGAAGGTATAAACAACGTATCCAAAATATAACTTGTCAAACGTAGATTATAACGTTTGTATGCGGTCAACAAAAAATGCAGAGGCCCACTCACCCACTCTCTATCAGTGACACTCCCACAGGTGAGTAAAATGCCCGATTACAAAACTCCTCCCTAATCTAATTGATTAAATCCCCTACAAACCAACAAATAAAAACAAAAACAAAACCGCTATAAACTCAGACAAACCAACATCAAAGCATCTTTTCAATTATGCTCCTACAGTATTTATTATCTTCTGTTTAGGTGGCCTTAATGGTCATAGTTATAACTTTTTTAACAAAGCAATGGGTGGTATACTTATACTTTTAAACTATAGTATATAAATTATTGTTTTATACATTTTGATGGATCAAAAGTATATAAATATTTACCTCTGAAAATGAGGCCAACGTCAATTTTAAAAGGATTTTGCACCAATAGGAATAGTAGGTTAAGGAATTAAACGTATCACCTTTAATGAAAGGCTGGATGCATTTTGTTTTTTCATTTTAAGTTTACAACTTTAGGAATCAAATCAGATTTTCCAGTTAATCTGAATTTAATTAATCCTCTTTGTCTTTTCTGGGTGTTTACTGTAGTTGGTTCGGTTGTAAATTGTCTATAAATAAAATCTATTAAAACCTGGAGCTGATTTAACTGCTGGTATAAAGTCTGTTGGCAGATGTTGAGTCGAAGCAAATGAAGGATCTCTGCTTCTTCTCTTCCTGCTCTCTAGGATCCGTACAACATGGAGCGGATCTTCTGGCTCCTCCTGGGCAGAGACGGAGCTTCAGTGAAAACCATGATGGAGGATTTCCAACGTTCCCGTCGACACGCTCTGCCAGAAAACCACCGCAAACTGGTACCAGTTTCTCAGGGCCCTGTGGAGACATCCAGACCCTGATCATGACGTTTGTGCTGTGTCGTCCCTGTAGCTGTCCGAGGTTCTGGTGACCGACAGCGTGAGCGATGAGGGAATCCTGGAGACCATGAGGAGGTGCTGGGAGGAGAACCAGTACGTGTTGTGTCCTCACACAGCTGTGGCCGTCTGGCATCACTACCACTGTCCTCACCAACCCGGCACCAACAGGTGGGAGGAGCTTAGCTTTACATTATTTTAGTGATTTATGGATTTTTATTATTTAGTTGTTGTTCGGTTTCAATTAATTATTGATTTCTGGTGTTTTTTTTCATTCCATTTCCTGAATACATCTATATATCAATATTTTAATTTTAAAGACATCTTATTTATTATGTGTGCTTTTTATTTTCTTTATATTTAGGATATATTTATGTTCAAATAAACTTTGATTTTATTTAGATTTACTCTACTTAGAATATAAACATACACCTGATATTAACTTTCAGTTGTTTTAAATGTTATTGTATTCCCAACATTTTTTTAATATATATATATTTTTTTCTTTATTATATTTATAATTTTTTATCACTGCTAGAAATATTTAAAATTTATAATATTTCAGATTATATTAAATCAGATATTAAGAACCGTGTTTATATTTTTTTTGTATTAACAGGGCCTCTTTTTATATTTTGTTTATATTAAAAAATTGTTTTGTTTATTTACATTTTTTCAGCTTATATATATTTACATTTTAATAGTTTTTAGTTTTTTCATTAATATATGTAATACATTAATTAATTGCAAATATGCAACTGAAATAAGTTTTAAAGATACCAGTAGAACCAGTGCTTTGGTCCCACAATAACCTGTTTTTCTATGTTTGACCCCCAGTGCAAATAATTTTAAAAAGCTTCCATATACTGTATATATCTCATGCAGCTTTTTCTTCCTTTGGCGTCTTCTTCTTCCCCTTTGACTATTTAAGCTGATCAATAAAGTCAATCAATCAAAAGTTAAATCACTAGTTCATTCATGTGTTTGTTGTTTCAGATGCTACGTTGCTACAGCATCTCCCGCCAAGTTTCAAGCAGCGGTGGACAAAGCAGGCCTTCCCTATGACCCCCCTGAAGCTGTGCTGGCTCTGGCCCAGTTACCCACTCGGTACCAGATCCTGGAGAGGAGCCCAGACTGGTGCAAGCACTGGGAGGAACGACTGAGAGAGCGGATCCAGTCAGTGAGCAGAACCAGAAAGGAGGGGAGAGCGTTTTACGCTTAGAGTCCATAAAAGCAGCTTTTATAGACGTCTACTTGTCTCTTGGATGGACTCTGCCCTGAACAGACATGTAACCTGTCCCAGCGAATGAACTCACCTGATCAGCAAGCATTCTAATCTAAACTAATCTTAAAGCATGAAGGAAACTAAATCCAGAAGGTCAAAGTTTTGCAATGTTAAACATTCTGTATCGTAGAATAAAATCAACTCATTTCACTGCAGGAAACATTCATTCTCCATGAAGGACATTAGAAGTTATTTGTCTTTACGAGCAAAGAAACAACAATAAAAAGCTGATTAAAATAAAAAA